TTTGAACGCATCTAAAATGAAACGCCTAGTGCTTTCTCGTTCTCTTGCCAGCTGCATTCTTCAAATAAACGGAGAAGCAGAAGAGCAGCTGGAGAAGGTCAAGTTCCTTGGGGTCCTGTTTACTGGTGATGAAAAATGAGAGGAAAAGATCGACCGGCGGATTGGAATAGCCAGAGGCATTCTTCATGAACTATCCCGAACGGCTGTGACTGAAGCAGAGCTGAGTTTGCGGACTAAGCTCGCGTTGTTCAAGTCGATCTTCATCCCATGCTCATCTACGTACATGAATCGTAGACCTTGACTGAAAAAGTTCGATCCCGGGAATAAGCGGCAGAAATGGTTTTTCTGAAACTAATCGTTGGCCTTGCGCGTCTCGACATGATCTAGAGTACAGAAATCTGAGAGAATTTTGGGGTCCAGCCGCTGCTTTTTCAACTGAGAGATGAGAACTGTGATTGTTTGGGCATGTTGCGAATACCTTCAGAAAGAAAGGTGAAGTAACCTTTACTTGCCCAACCGACCAACAGGAGACCCAGGGATTGCCAAAATTAACATGTTGCAGATGTATTGGACTGTGCTGTTTTAAACTGCGGTGTTCTTCTGCCGAAGCTGAGATGCTAGTGTAGGATCAGGAACGTTTGAAGCACCGTCTGAAGCATCTGCCTCCGTGACCCGAAAGAGGAAGTGATCAGTTTAAGTGAAGTGAAGTTGTGACGAAAAATATTATTTACCTATGATAATATTGTTTTTTGCAACTGCAGAATAATGTTCGTCATTGATTGCAGAGTTCTTTAAAAGCAAAGATGACAGATTTTGTATAATTTTTAAAATCATGCCAAATTGATTTTCAGGAAATTTTTCATGTTACCATGGATTTCCTTGTTTACCTAATGCATAACTTATGACAATTGACTTCATCACGGATATTAATTAGTTAAAAAATATCAGCTCTTGAAGAAACTTCAGGAAATTGTAGATATGTGATTTTACTTGTTGACAATCAACCATCACTTGCCCGCTATATTGTAACATTTGACATACCTAAATTCATTAAATTTAAACATGTTAGTGCAGTTTCATTTTCAGCTCTTTTTCATCCAACTTTTTTAAAATTTAAAATTGCACAGATTTTAAACACCACGCTATGAATATTACGTTCTTAATTTAAACAAGCATAATTCTCTCGACTCACGATGAACCACTACGGTTCCTTTTTTGTATCCTACATATAGGATTGCAAAGAAACCACTGGCTGCAGTTTTATTTCTTTTTTTGCGAATGCTTCGTTTGCGAGTCGAAGCCACCGAAGTAGCTTCTACAATTTGTCTTGAACTTTTAATTCCTTTGTTAATTATGAATGAACTTGATGTATGTCGATTGATTCACTTAAAATTAGATAAGGCGTGTTGTACGAAGCGTGCGCATTGGATATAGTGCCCGATATTCCATACAGGCTCGTATATTCGCACCACGCATAACTTACTGCTCGTTTGCAGCTGGATACATGAAGTACAGTATGAGGATTGTTTTGATCGATGAAAAATAATAGTTAGTAAGAAAATCTGTGCCACGCTAAGAATCAGAATTTCCTTCTGACATATAGGGGGCAAAAACTTTCTCGGCAGGGATCTGGCAGCAATTTTCGTGAAGTCCTTTAAGAATCTGGTAATGTTTTAACATTCGTCCAAAGCTTTCTGCTTTTTTTGATGCCTCAGAACGCTCATATACATGATAGTTTTTGTAACATTATTAGAAGAAGACACTGTTTAGCGATTAGTGGCCACAAGTTCTCTTTCGCACTATCGAATAGGTACTGCGATAAAACTTTCCGCTAACGTTCTTCCTCGTTTTTGGACTGTTGCGACACTCTAGGAGCCCATTCCTTTATATCTTCTCTGTTGACTAAACCACCCCATGTTCTACGGCCCATCAATCCTCTGTGTTCGATAACGTTT